ATGTCCACAGATGTGTTCCTGCCTTCAGAGGAAGCTGGACTGTCTTAGTGTAACTGTACAATGAACCAATAGAGGGAGCTGTAGAGGAGAGTAACTTCCACGTATTTCATAGTAACTAGAGTATTACAAATGGGATTAGAACTTCAGGTAACTGACAGGGTTACCACACCACGCTGTGTGTTGGTATGGCTGGAGTCACTAGGTCAGGCATTTCCCCTGCATGGCTGCATTGGGATATAAGGCCATTTTACAGGGCCAGTTGTGTCCTATAGTGAAAACACTACTGGTGCTCCCATGTACCAAAATCTCAAACACACCACTAAGTAATGATTAATGGAAGATTAACTGTGCATTATGCGATTTAAACATGTCTGTGTTCTCAGTTATTGTTTTACTACTTTATCTTTATGTACTGTGTTATGGGTAAAACCCAACTTATTTAGTGTTTATTGGTTAAGATGGACTCGTTTAATCTCTCTTTAAACAGGACTGTAAAAGGTATGACTGGACTTCAAGTGCCTTACATCAATAAATCATTTTGGTATTTAAATCACTGACCACAGGTCCTGGTCCTCAGCCTGAAGCACTGATGCTGTCTATGATCTGTAGCGATTTCTTTTGCTTTTATAGTTTCTGTTGAGTTAGTTCTAACATCAGTTGGAATAAAAGATTATAATCACTCATTGATTTACTGCTGTGATTGGTCTGGATGAGACTACTTGAGCGGTTTTAGAAAATTAAATCAACACTCTTCAGATTCGAGAATTCCACAGCGTGATGGTATAAATAAATTTCAGAGAATGCTTCATAAACACCAAGAAGTCATCAAATCTTTCATGGCTTCCATGAACAGACCCAAGTAAATACCCAGAAACCTTCATGAGAAGTTCTGAAGCACAGAATGACAGGTAGGCCGTCACACCCTTCATCCGTCAAAAGGAGAAAAAGACAAGCAGATTTACTTAGAAATGCACATCTTCTCCCTAAACCCATTCCTAGTGTACAATTTAATTTGCTGGTACAGTATAAAACTTTGAAATGCTAATGTACAATGGGAACCAGCAATATGTTTACTGAAAGCAGAAGAAAAGCGTTTGGGCCCAGGGAGCTGGGGGAGTCTGAGATTTGTATGTCAGTGACAGTGCCTTTTTTCCTCTTTATAATTCATACTCTTCATATTCTTCAGAACATGCACAGAATTTATATTATTCACTGAACTCTTAAGTGAAGGACACCCAGTGTACACAAATATCAATACTGACACGATTTATGCTTTTGTTCAATTACATATTCCTCAAAGTTCAGCTATTAATTGTTGACAAACCATTCCATCTTGGAGACTTTGAATGTAGTAGGCCTGGTTCTTTGTGCTGACTGATTAAAATCATATAGGGGCAATTTTGTGACCTGCAGGAAAGGGTAAATATCTGCCCTCCATGTTTGTAAACCGAAGAATGCAGAAGCCATGAAAGAAATGGGAAGATCTGACCACCACAAGCATGAGGCGGGTAAATGCTGTACTGCTTCCATATTCATTCAAGCACAATGTTCTTCCCACTCTGCCTGCTTGATTTCAGCGTGTGTCATGTAAAAACAGCTGTAAATACAGGCGGAGCGCCGCAGAGCATGTGACGAGCTGAAGGACGGAAACACCTTGGATAGCATGTGACAGAATTCTGTACCAAAGGTGGGCATCAGAGTGGAAAGCTGAAATCTGTGAGGTGACTAACCAGCTACACTTAATTAGCAACTTGCAAAAATAAAAGCCTATGCAAAAGAACACCACGCAATGCACAGTCTCCTTTGAAAAAATATCCACTCAGCTATTATGGCTCAAGGTTTAAATAATAATAAAAGATCCTCCTAGTGTGGACTGTCTGGGGATCCCCAAAGACCAGATTGGGAAACACTGCTCTACTACATAAGGTGTAAAGGAAAATGAATAAATATTTTCTTTTGACAATCATGCATGATCTTTCACCAGAGACACCAGGTACTGTCATCTGTAACATGCTGTTGATATAAAAATGAACTGTACTGGTCCAAATTGTTGACGTTACTCCTAAAAGAAACAAGCAGTCAGTGATTAAGGACTTATATGGTCAGAGGTGGAAGTCTCAAAAGCAGAAGTGTTGTTGTGTACTACAGAATTTTTTATGGTACTACTTATGGTACTATAAATGTACTACTTACACCATAGTAATATAGGCCTACCAGTAAAGGCCAAAATAATTCCTCTTTCACCTAAAACTCTAGGCCAGGGGTTGTCAAAGTGGGGGTCGCTACCCCCTGAGGGGTTACAA